GTTCAGACTGGACATTAGAAAGAAGTTCTTCACTATGAAGGTGGTTGCCCAGAGAGGTGGTGGAAGCCCCATCCCTGGAAGTTTTTAAGGCCAGGCTGGATGGGGCTCTGAGCAACCTGATCTAGTGGGAGGTGTCCCTGCTCATGTGGCAGAGGGGTTGGAACTAGATGATATTTAAGGTCCCTTCCAACCCTGACAATTCTATGGTTCTATGGTCTCTGCTGTTTGGTATATGTGATAAAAAGTGTGCTCAAATTATGGGGGAAGGATTATATCAGTACCACTTTTGTAGGTTTTTTTTTTGCTACTATTTCCTGCTCCACCCTTTAGTACTATTCTTCCTCTTCTTCCATGCTAGCATGCAACACCTAAGAAGATAGACTTAGGACATTGCAACTATACTGTCATTTTCCTGTATCTGTGCTTCTACCAACCACTGTGCTACCTGGGAAGTGTGATGAGAGGGAACAAGTCTTCAAGTTCAACCTGAAACACTTTACGAGTGGCAGGAGGGAGATGTGTGTAACTTTGGTTGGCTCAAGTTAACACTACTTGTCTGGTTTAGTTAAATTCTAAAACCTTTCAGTATGCTTGTACAGAGGCTTTTTATCAAGATGTTTTTCCTCTAACTTGATCGTTAGTTTTGCGTTCCATTTCTGGAATCAATTTTTCTCTTAATGTGCACTTAATTCTGGCACACGTTTGCAGAACCTTTAGATGTTTTGCAATACTAGTATTTTCAGCTGAGGACATGAATGCTTGAGAACGTTTAAATTTGAGCTTTAACATTTGTTCAGTATCTGTTAAACATTCTTGGTGGTCAAAATTCATGATACATAAAACCATATGATACAGGGGTCTTAGGAACAATGCAGAATTGTTTTTGGAATGTTGTCTGTCTGTTTTGAGGGAGATTTGCAGTTTTTATGCTCAAGACTGAGTGTTTTTCCTAGCTTATGTGCTCTATAGAAGAGAAGAAAGGTTGTTTCCTGTGCATGAAATTTTAAATCTAATACTATCAAAAATAATAATTGCATTATTAGCATAATCATTTTGTGCTTCCATCTCTCTCTCTTGTTTTGCACACTGCTTTTTCTCTGCCTGCTTTCCTTTGGGCTCTTGTTTCTCATCCTTTTGCTGAAGTTTCACAAGTACAAGAACAAATGATGGGGAGGAATACAGTGCTTGCTTCCACAAGATTTTACGAGGTTCCTGGTAGCTGAAGTGTGAAACTGAGCAGTGTTGTTGATGCTGTCAACAGGAATCCAATTTTGTGTAAAATCTTGGTAATTTGGGTTTATTCCAGTTGAATGCGTGATATTTTAAAAAAAAATAATAAAAAGCAGAAAACAAAAACCCCTCAGGAATTTTATTGAAAAAACTTTGCCATTTTGTTCTATGGCCCCTGCATGAAAGCAGAAGTGCCTGTAAAACAGTCAGTGGGTTAAAGTGTCTAAACAGCGCCCATTTGCTGAATCCTGTGTTCTATATACTCCTTGTAAAATAACAAGTACCTTCTAAAAAGAAAACAAGAAAAACCTCTTCCAGGCGAGCATAGGAAATCAGCAGTCGTTTGAAACTGCTGAAACTACTCCGTGGTGCCTGAGAACCCAGCCCCAAAGCTGAGTGCTGTTTATGGCCTTTTTTTTGTATAGATTTTGGATAGACTCTTTAAAGATTTCTGCTTTTTATCTGTTACTTTGCAGTAGTATGACTGGTTGGCCTTTGATTTAAAGATGATTTCAGAATGCTTTACCAAAACAGTTCAGTTCTGGAGGAGCAAGAGGTTTGCGGGAAAGATAAATAGCAAACTAATGAAATAGGTAGACAACCTGTGACAATAATGACTGCGTGTACAGTAAAGACTTTTTACAGTAAATGCTACGCACAGAGCATATGACTTGTGATTTTTATTGCTATTTTTATTTGTTGATTGTGTTCTGATGACTCTAACCTCTTATTTTTCTGTCTCAGAAACTTGAAGCTGACATTCTTGATGCTAAAGCAAGCAAAGAACAAGCTTTTCAGGATTTACAGCAGCAGCGACAGCAATCAACAGAATTAGACCTCCGAACAGCAGAACTGACTAAACAACTTGAAGCAGCAAGAGAAGCGTATGCATTTCCTGTGTTACAGTACTTCTCAAAATCAGATGTAAAACTAGAGTGGTTTGAACTACAGCTGAAATTTTGTTCTTCTCTCCTGTAATTTCTTAAAATCATAGAAAAGTGATGCGTTTCCTCTGCCACAAGAAATGTGTTTTATCCCTCTGGTTTTCTTTCGCTCTCTGTGCCATGCAGACTCCATCTGCCATGTTGTCTCATATGAATCACTGACTGCTGTGATTCAATACACTTCTTCAGCTTATTCGCTGGGCTTCGTGTCAGCTAAATAGCTGAGCAGTTTGATGTAGTGAGGTCCATCTTTTAAGTATCCATAACTCCGTAAGTTTTCCCAAAGACTAATTTGCAATTTACGCATAAGCAACAAAGGGGTAGTTTCTCTTCGTTACAGTTGAGGAAGAAAAATGCATCCGAGTAATTTTTAGAGTTGCTGATATGTCTTCACTGAAGAGACAAAATGCCCATGATTCAGTTGAAAAAGGTATACTTTGAAGTAGTTCTACAGTTAGTATATTAAACAATAGAGACATTTAATGATACCTATGAAGAAAAAATAAAAATATTTTTTTCTCTTTGTATTTGCAGGATGTCTAATGCTAAGTTGGACTTGCAGAAGAAATCTGAGGCCCTTGAAGAAGCGAAACGGCAAATTTCAAAGCAGGAGGAGGAGAAGGCAAGCCTCAAACAAAACTTTGAGAAAACGAATCAAGATACAAGTAAACAACTCAAGGAATTAGATTGTAAAATGCAAGCAGCAACATCAAAGCTGCAACAAGTTAAATTAGAGAAGGATACTCTATTAAAGGACCTTACAGCTACCAAAGACGAGCTCTCAAAAAGTTCTGAATCCTTCAAAAAGAGAAAAGAGGAATTAGAAGAAGAAATACAAAAAGAAAAAGCAGCTGTGGCACAAATGGTTAGTAGTTTCTTTCATTAGATATAAAGGGTGGTGTATTTACAGTCTGATAAAATTGCTTTGCTTTCTGTATGAAAACTACGTCAAGCATGGCAGTTAATTGCCTTAAGGAAAAACAAATTGTGATTTTTAGTAGTTCATACACATGTCCAACTTAAATTTTTGTCTGGACGTTTGCAGTAGTAAATGTTAGTCATATTACACAGCAGGATCCCTTTTTATTTGCTGCCTGGTTTTAATATGGTGAAGGAACTAAACTATTGGAGTTTCAGAGAGGTCTCACTAGTGATGATGTTACAACAAATGCTTGGCCACCAGAGAAACCTATTACGGGAAAGAAAGTGAATTCTCACGAGCCTTAAAATACACAATTTTCTCCCCTCTTTCACTTTGTTTGTAATATGAGTGGCTGCTATATGAATATGTGTTTTACAGATTTTCTTACACAGTTGTTCTGACACCCCTACCTCAGACATGGTAGAGGTGACTTTCTCATTCTCTTCTCATTTGATGTGTCACCATTTCCCAGAACCTGTTCAGAGCTGCTTTTATTTTGATCTAAAAAACAAAAATCTGCTCCTAGTTAAAAATATCACTTTTTCCTTTACTCTTTACCTTTTTGCGATAAGCCTTTTTGTTTGTTTTACTTAGTTACTGCTCTTTAAATATTTGTTTCTCAAAAAAACTTGAAGGATTTTCTCCCCAATTTAGACTTAAAGATAGGAGTCTAGATTTTGCTTCTAATTCTGTAGTCATTTGGAGGCTTGCCACTGTCTTAAATGCATAGTATTTGGGCTTAAAATATAGTTGTATTTGCATACAAGTCCTGCAAATTTATTTGCTCATGAGTTTTAGAACATCATGAAATTTTGGATCCTGAAGAAAGCAATGAGCCTATTGCTTCCCACAAGAGGGAGAAAGGCTGACAACAGCAGCTTCAAACAGGGAGACTATCCCTGATCAGCAAACTCTTTGGCACATGGCTGCATTTTTTTAGTGTGGGATATCAGCTGTGTTCAGCTTAGATTTACCACTGTTGAAAGTTATGAGAGGTTTTGAGCTGAAAGTAAGCTTGCACCTGAAAAGGAAAACTTTTGCGCTGAAAAGGAAAGCAGGATTTGGCAAGATGTTGTAGATCCTGAAAAAATATCTGGTACCTGTTCTTAACAAGGCTCACAGGAATATTTCCTCCTCTTACTTTTTTTTTTTTTTTTTTTAGGAAAAATCTTACCAAGAAGTAAAACACCAGCTCCAGGTACAGACAGAGTCCGTAGCTAAAGAGAGGAATGAATTGAAAAACTCACTGGAAAAAAAGGAGGGGGTAAGCTGTCAATATAGTTTAGAAAGACTAGAAGCCAGTAATAATAATAAATGTTTAAAAGATTTGTTTTCAGTCTCACACGCCAGGACTGATGAAAGAGGTTGCAGTTTTCAAGTTGTAACCCACCAGGGGCACTGAAATACGGTGACAGAAAAAATTTACTAGATGTTAGTGTGAAGCTTTAAAATGCAGGTTTTCTTTCTACCTTTCTGTGCCCCACATACCTTGGTAGGGGATTTTAGCCCTTCAGTTTTATTAATTAGTGAAGCAGTTACCAGATATTGCTATATCATCTTTTATTTTGATACTTTGATACACTAAAAGTTGTTATCTCATATCCTCAGATCTGTTTTAATCTAAGGCCTAATCATTATGCTCTCTGGGTGGTTTAACTGGGCATTTTCAGGTATACTTCAAGGAATTAATTGTTTTTGCAAACTTGTATAAATCGCCTGTTACCGAATTTAATTCTTTTTTAAATATGAGTGTTCAGACTGCAAAATCACAGGATCACAGAGTGTCAGAGGTTGGAAGGGACCTCGAAAGATCATCTAGTCCAGCCCCGCTGCCAGAGCAGGATCACCTAAAGTAGGGCACACAGGAACACGTCCAGGTGGGTTTTGAAAGTCTCCAGAGAAGGAGACTCCACAACCTCCCTGGGCAGCCTGTTCCAGTGCTGTGTCACCCTCACAGTGAAAAAGTTTCTCCTAATGTTTTTGTGGAATCTCCTATGTTCCAGCCCTTCATCATCTCTGTGACTCTGTGCTGGACTCTCTCAAGCAGTTCCCTGTCCCTCTTGATCATGTAGGCCTGAAGGCTAAGGGTACTTTCATGGACTTTTTTACCCCAACTGTTACCTGTTCCTTAAAAGAATCAAGAAAAGTTACAGTCAGTGGACATAGTTTGTTGGACTGCCTGAAAGAGGGTTTGTGGCTGTGCAGGTGTGATGTTGATTGCTCTGTGACTGCTGCTTCTACATGCCTGGCTCCTTGCCCGTTCAGCAGAAGCACTCTGGTGCTCTGTGGCAAATGCAGGAGGATGAGTCTGGTATCTGCTGCAGTTGGCAGCAGGAGAACCCAGACCACTGCTGGCTTGCGAAGAGTGTCCTGCTCTTAATTTTGAACGGTGAACAAAGACAGCAGTTGCTCTAAGGGTGGGAAATTGGGAATAACAGATGGTTTTAATGTGGTAGGGTAGCTCTTAAAATCTACTTGCCAGGGTTGTATCATGTAGCTCTGAAGTAGAAGGTAGCACCAGTGGTACTGTGGGATGTGTACGAGAAATCACAGCCGCATCTTTGGAAACTCTTTCCTGCGAATAATCTGCTGTTCTTTCTAAAAACGTAACAGTGGGCATGGTGAACTGATCACAAGAAAGGTGTAGCTTGTTATGTGGTCTCTGGCAGAGGAAAGTAGCAGGTGCCTGGAGAAGAGCAAGCATTTCAGACTCCTACAATCAGGAGATTCTCTTCAACTTCCAGGAGTCTTTTGGGAGCTGATTTCCTGAAGCTGTATCTCCAGCTTTAACAGCTTTGACCATTTTTTTCATGTGTGAAATTGTCCACTTGCTTTTTGAACCACGTAATTTGTCATCCACACAGTTCAATAGGCAGTTTCACATACTACAACACTTACAAATAGTGATTTAAACTAAAATTATATGCAGTTGTTTAATATTTTTGAATATAGATTTCTAAGCAGTTGTCGATAGAACTTGAATCAGCACGAATGCAAGTAGTGGAAATTCAAGGTCTTCTGAAGGAGAAAGAAAAAAGTGAGCAACATCTCCAGGGAAAGCTGAGAGAGTTAAAGGAATCTTTTGAGCAGAAGAAGAAACATAGTGAGACATTGCAAGCTGAATTAAAAACTGCCCTTTTAGAAAAGGTAAGACTGGCCTCTCTTACTCCTTGAAAAAAATTAAGGTGAATTTCTCTGATAAATGCTGCGGCTTTTATGTCAGTATCTTTGTAATAAACAGCTGTAGTCTTGTTAGAAATGACAAGGTCAGGATGGGGAAACAAGGTCTTCAGATGCTGTTGAGGAAAAAACATCAACCACAAGAATAATAAAGTAAAAAGAACCAGTGCTGAAATATGAGTTCTGTAGGAAGTGAGTTTCAATAAAGTGATAAAAATGGCTAGACTGAATGTGTTTGTTTTGCTTCAGGAGCATGCGATAAGGCAAGAGCTGCCATTTTCTTGTAAAGCAGTAGAATTCTGTGAGAGCAGTTGAGACAAACTCTGCAGTGTTATGGAATGTCCATGGCAGTTTTAAACCAAGTCTTCTCTTATTATACCAAAAGAATTTATCTGAGTGACAGTATAAAACTCATAAACCATAATGGAAAGAGTTCAAACGTCTTACATCATTAGGGAGTGTTGTGTTGTGTGCCATGCACTGTCAAATGTTCCCTTGTCTTTGACTGCCCTGTACTACTTGATCATGCTTGTGCTTTAGTCAGCCTGTGGAAACTTTAGGATTTGGAAGCATTATTTAGATTTTTAATATTTGGTCTTAATGTGTTCACTTACTCTTTTGACATGAATTAAATTTTGTTGATAAATTAATTACAAAATATTACTGTAAAATCACAAACTGAACTGCTGTTTCATGAGTGGAAAATAAAAGCTCATCTCGCAGTAGAAATCCGGTTTGTTGAAATGATTAAGCTTACTTTACTGTCTGTAATTTCAATTACAACTTTATGCGTGTGTTTCAGGCAGAACTGGAGAATAAACTGCAACAGCAGTCTATTTTGTCAGCACAGGAGCTTAAAGCAGAGAAAGTCAAGCTAGCAGACTTGCAAAAGACCCATGAAAAACATAAGGAAAACATGGAGAAGCTCCAGATGGACCTTTATAGAGTCTGAGCTGCTGGCAACCAGGCAAGACCTTAAGGTATTTAGAGTCATTTTACTGCCATATGTTGCTTAGTAGCTCTGTTCATACCCATTTTGAAGACCAAGAAACGGTGCAAGAACCATATAGGCAGAAAAAAGCTCCTCTGCTATGTGTAGGATTTAGTCCTGTCCAATCTCTTCCCCTGGGACAAAGGGCATCCTGAAACTAATTTAAAGCCAAGTGTATTTGCCACTTTACCTGAAATACCCTTGCATTTGTGCAGCAGCAGAGAGAAGGATGGTTTATTTTTGTATTCTTTTAAGAGGTTTGGGTTGGGTTTTTTTTGTGTTGCTTTCTCTTGTTATATATTGTAGCTTTCAGCTAATTTAAACAGCATAGCTAATTAGGGCAAAGTCCCTGACAGCATGTGAATAACTTCTGTCTCCTACATGATTTAACTAGAACTTTAATTGTCAGCCTTTGCTCGTGTCCTTGCCACTTTTACATCTTCCCGGCTGACTGTAGATGTTCAGAGATGTCAAATTAATAGAGACGGTAGGTTTTAGGTTCGCTATTCCTAGGCTGTATTTGTCTGATTTGGTTATTAGGGTGCAGTGCCTTTGAAGCGGTATTGCTGCAAGTTGAATCAGTCAGCAGAGGTGTTCTTTGTCTTTTTTTTCTGCCCCCCTCCTTCATGTCATTGCTGACCCAATGCTGCAGTTAGTCTCAGGACATACTGTGCTGCAGAGCCTGGCTGTCTACTGGCAAGATGTGTAGCTTTGGCACTTCTCACTTCAGATGAGTCCCACTGCAGCCTTGCCTGTGTCTGTCTGACACCGTTTTTCTAGGCTCTTCTGAAGTTTATGGAGAGAAATAGATGCTTCGGAAGGACAGATCATCTGATCTGGTTTAGGTGGCAGCTTCAGTTTGCTTAATTACGTATAAAGGGAGCCTTTGTTGACTGCTTAGATTTCATCGCTCCCTTTCACCTGTTCCCGTGGAAGCCTTTCAGTCTGAAATTGTTAAAGGTCTTGTAGCTGTTTCAGGCTCATGTGAGCTACAGAGCCTTAGCCCCTCTTCAGGTTCAGGGTTATTTTAATAAAAGGAGAAGTAACTCCTTTACATGTAGGCCACTGGAGTTTTATTATTCTTGCTACTCCTCTGTAGCATTAGATAATCTGCCGCATTTCCCTGCAGGTTGCAGAAGCTTTACTTTCTGTGCAGCTTGCTGTGAATTGCTGTGTTAAATTGTGAAGAATTTCAGCATGATTACCAAGCAGTGGTCGTTTAAACATGCCCTTTCTTACGGTTTGTTACTGTAGCACACCTACCTCTGTCAGTTATTTGCTGCAATGCATTTAGATGAATGTTTCATAATGCAATGACGCATAGAAGTGTTGGATGTGCTCAGTAATTTTTTTCGGTATAGTTTTCATCTAAGTATTGGTTGTTGTAAAAGTAACTCTGAATAAGAATTATTAAACCAGCTTGATGACCTCTAGTTCTGGCAAGTGTAAAAAAGCTTCCCACATGCTCTTAAACCCGAATGGGCATGGTCACAAGAGGAAGAACATCCATGCAAAAAGGTAAAATAAGGTGATAGCAACGGGAAGCCAAGAGTTTCAAGATGAGCAATTGGGTAATGTGATTTTTTTATGCAAGTCTCTGTGGAGCCTAAGGAGCCTCTGGAAGACTGAGGTCCTCAGTACTGAAGTAATGTACCAGCTTGGAGGCTGTTTGCTTAATTTAAAAATAAATAAATCAAAGACATATATTTACTATGATTCGTGAGGTCTGCTTGCCACCGCTTTTTTCTGTAAAATGTAAGAGAGGGAAAAGGCAGGGAGCCAATCTTTAATCGTGGATGTGCTGCCTCATTCCAATGTTACCCTAAAGAAGCGGTGCTAACTTGTCTAAGGAGATAGCAAAGGAAAAAGCCCATTCAGAAAGTCTCAGCATGATGGTATTAGTCTTGAGAGCTTAGTATCAAAGTGCCACTCAAGTCAGAAGAGCTTTATGGTAGAGCTTCACAGTCCAATTCGAAGTCAGTTGCCTGGATTATGTTTTACCTTGGGCGAATGACTTAATAAAGGTAGGTAGTTTGAGCCAGCGCTGTGGATTAGTAGAAGGTTTTAAAACTTGTATGTAAGGTGAGCTTGGGTGTCTTTCAGCACAGGATTTTTAGGAGGGATATGAGCTCCCTGCAGAGCTGTGCTAGGTCAGCACAGTTGTCCGGTTGTTGGGTCAAGCCAGATGTTGTCCACAACGGTCCCGACCAGGCCGCATCATGCGTTCCGAGCAGCACTAGGTTTTCTTTAGTTAAAAACACTACAAGGGACAACTGAAATATGCTCACGTGGTGTAGCACCACGCCAATCGGCGAGGCCAAAGTTTCATGCCTGGGTAACAGATGATATGAGGCCGCACAGGATGAGGGTGAAATGGGCAGGGTGGTGGGGCTGGTCCCTGGGGTGAAGGTGGCGCTGGGACACAGGAGTTGGGCCGTGCACTGAGCACCATCTGCTGGCATCGGTCCGGAACGTCACTGCTTGTCTCTGACTGGGAGACTGGGGTGTCATGGAAAAGGGGACAACTGCTTCAGTGAAGTTCTGCAGTTGAAGATGCGGGAGACAGGGCCGCAGAGCGGGCAAGCTGCTCTCTGGGTGCCATCAGCACCTTGATTCTGGCTTGGTAGCAGAAGATCCAACCAGTGTAGCCACAGATGCAAACTTCCAAGCTGTAAGACTTGCATGGGAGCAGCGAGAAGCGTTGTAACAAAATCACACAATCACATAATTGCCCAGATTGGAAAAGACCTTTAAGATCATCGAGTCCAATCGGAAGCAAGAACGTAGTTAGAATTTTATGGGTAATGTTTGCAGTGAATTTCCTTTGGTTTAAAAATGCACCATCTATAACAGTAACTATGCTCATACATTTTTGTCTGTGAAAGGAAAAAGAAGTTGTGTAGGATTCGAGTGCTTGTAAAAGCTATAATTTTTGATAAAAAAGGAATATACGTAGTAGAGAAAGAATACCACCAGATATTTTTTATATATGTATATATAAAGACATATATACAGAGATATGTGTATATATAATACATAAATATTTTTGTATGCACAAACACAAAATAATGCGTGTTATTTTTGTGAAAAAGGCTTTTTTGTATAGAAGTGTGAATAAAAATGCAGCACTGTTATTTCTGCCTTGATTTTCAGTCAGTGAAAGCATACTTTGTGTGAATCCTGCTCTCCTGAGTTCTGCCAAGTATCCTTAAGTTTTGGCATTTGTGCTTTTTATAGTCAGTCCTGGTTTCCTCTGTGCTCTCACAAGAATGTTTCTTTGCCTCCAATATTGGCGTCGCTGTCAGTGTATCTTCAGTGAACGTTCTGGGACAATACTCATGCTGCGAAACCTCAGGTCTGTGAGTCGGGAGCTTAAGCTGCCTGCAGTCAGTCTAACCCTTCTTCTTGGGAAGTGAAGAGACACTGGGTTAGCAGCTGTGAATAATTTCACGTCTCTCCTTGGGGACTGGGATCAGGGAGCACACAGACTAAAATGGTCATTTCTGCACCTCACTTAGGTGGAACGAATCCAGGTCCTACCACCCAGCTAGGGCACTGCCACAGCCCACGTCATAGTGAATCAGACTGTGGTATCTTCTTATCTTCTTAAAAAAAAATACTTAAACTCTGTACCAGTCGTCCTAGCATCTGTTTTTATTTACAAAACCAAGTGCAGATTGACATCTTCTGTTCTGTACCTTTTCCTTGCATTCGGTTTTGTATTCTGGGAGCAATGGCAAAAATTGAATGGTAATTAAATATGGTAAATGGCATCGGATGTTTTGAGAGGTGAATTTATGTTAAAGAAGTGAGCTCCTCAGCAGTCAGAAGGATTGGGCTGAATTATGGTCTTGGTGGAGACTGAGTCAGGAGCAAGGACAATAACTGGAATGCTTAACCATGTGCCAGAAGATTTCTACTCGTTTCCAAAGGATGCTGTGAGGCACTTTTGAGCAAAGCAGAAAGAAAGGCGTAAACAGATAGAAGATTGATTTTACTGTTAAAATTATATTGAATGGTTACCAGTTAAGGTAGGTAGCATCATTATTAATCACAGCACAGCTAAGAGGTACTTAAATATATAAGATAAGGTATGCTAAATTGTGTGCAAAATTCCAAGTTTATTACAAACTACTGAATTATGGAAATGTTTGTGCATAATACCGTGCAGAGTGGGATGAATACTGAATCCCCTTACAAGAATGTTTCCATTGTATTAGCTTAGATATAGACGCAATGAGATAACCTGTCCAGAGTAGACACCTGCCGGGTGGGTGTTGAGAGAGGAGTATCCCCTTTGTGAGGCTTTTAATTCAGATGTCACTATCTACTTCATCAAATTGCATCATCCTGTGCTAAAAATTGGTTTTAACCACACTTCTTCTACTAGAAATTGATTTGAATAAAAGCTTTGGTTTCGTTATGTTTCTTTCTACAACTGCAGAGACTACTGGGTTTTCCTGTGAAGATGTTAGATAATGATGTTACACTTCCCATCCTTTCTCATTGTTATGAAAATACGGTATTCCAGTGCCCACAGTGGAGCAGAGAGGGATAATTTTGCTTTCTGAAAGACCCACCCTGCTGAAAGCTTGAAATTGCAAAAGCATCTTCTGTTTTGCTTAAAAATATTTCTGAGTTAACACCTTGCAAAGTGTTGACTAGTAAACTCCAGTACGTCAGAAGGCAAGTAAATTGTCTTTACTTTTTAAAGCCCATGTGCACTTTTCATGAGCCACTGGGCTTGTTGAAAAGAGTATTGAATCAGCAGTGCTCCATCATTGGTATTTCAAACTAAGTCTGACTCTACAGGCAAAATACTTTAGACATTACTAGGGAGGGTTAGGAGGCATCAGAAATCAATTTGGTTTTGAACCAGCATGGAAGTGGCTAAAGCATACGCATCAAAAATAAAATACCAATATTTTGGGGGAGTGGAGGATGACTTTGGTTGGTTTTCTTTCTCGTTCATTCTTTATGAAACAACATGCTTTTAAGTGGGAACTATTCCTTGCCTAAGCTGAAGGCTTTAAAAAAAGTGACCTCCAGAATACTGACTCAAGAAGAACTCCAATGTTTGACTTTGCTGTGAACAAATAAAACTTGTACCCAAGGCTCATTCTAGGTTTTCTTGGGGTTTTGCAACTTGTTGTAGAGGTAAATCCAAGTTCTTTTTCTAGATAATGGAGGAGAGTTGGAGGCAAATTAAAATGTAATCTATGGTAGATTTTGAATAGAACTTTAAACTTTGTGTTTCAAATGCTGATGCAGCTGAAGTGTGAAACGTTTTGTCCTGATATTAGCATTTCTAGCTTGTACTTTTCATTATATTTTCAGAAGTTTTATAATTGTCCTAGCCCTTGCTTCTTTAAGTCATTGGAGAAAAAAAAAAAGCGTTGAATGACTTTTGATATCTTAACAGTATAGCTTCACTGCCTCTTAAGTAACAGGTGTTTGGAATTATAGAGCGGTTGATTTTCACAGAGAGTAAAATATATTTCTGTGACCAAATTCAAGTTAGTTCTCTTTTCCTCAGTTGCTTTTTGTTCTCTGCCCTCTCGTATGTTTTCACCTTTTCTCAGTGGAAGGTTGCAAAAGCTGGAATATGTAAAATATTGCTGTTGGAAGTGGTACTGGGTTAACTTCTTTTTACGTAGGGTAAACTCGTAACATAGAAGTTCCTGTAACTATGCTTTGTCAGCATTTGAAGCTAAATGTCGCACACTAGATAAAACGATTTTTCCAAGTTCACAATGTTTAAGTGGCTCTTGAGTATCTGAAGCTTATACACTGACAGATGATTTGCAGAACTCTCTTTGATTAGTCCACAGAAGAAAAACTTGCTCTTGCCCAAGAAGAATTAGTTTCCAGCAGAAATCGAATTGCTAGCAATAATCAGCAGATTCAGGAACTGAAGAAAGCAAAGTCTACGCTGGAGCAGGATGCATCAAAGAAGGAACAGCAGCTGGGCGAGAAGACCAAAATGTTACAGGATCTTCAGAATGACAGGGTAAAAATGCCACAGTCTTTTGAAGTCCTCACACAGACACATCCACCCCTATTATTAATTTCTGTTACATCTCTAAAAAAGAGGTGTTTTGAGGGCATGGCACTGTTGTAGTGTGTAGCAATGGCAGTTTTAGCAAACATCTGGTGCAAAGACTTTCAACACACAGTGGAAGTGAACTTGGTTCGAAAAAGGCTATTAATTTGCCCTAAGTGGCTAGACAGGTCAAAAAATGTTATTAGTTTTAAATCTAAAAATTAAAACATGCTGCTAATTGTTCACATTACAAACTGTGGATGGAGGTATGTGACAGTTGTTTGCCTTTAATTACAAAGCCTTCCAAGTAGGTTTTGGGCCCTGGATGTTTTTTTGTTTAGTTTGGGGTTTTTTATTTGTTTTGTGAACTTGGAAGAAGTAACTTTTCTGGCACTTTTTATTTCTCTTGAAGATTTTGAAAGAAAAAGACTTGGCTAATGAAAAATGTAAAACAACAGAACTCCAGGAAATAAGGAGTAGACTTGAAAAAGAAAGTGTCAAGCTGGCTGAAGAGCTAAGAGCCTGCAAGCAAGAATTTGAGAAGGTATATTGAGACAAACTGTGTCTTCATGTGGTTGGTCGTCTGATAAGAAATATGTGCCTACTCAGTGGATATTATCTGGAATGGCTTTGTAAAGGTGGTTGCTGTAAATGTCAATATTACAGGTCAGGGAACTAAAGTGCAGATTTTGTTGAGGTTCCTGAGCAATGCTGCTTGATTAGAGATAATCCTGGAGCATCGGCACCCAATATTCTCAGCCAAGTGGACCACATAACTTGTCTTGGCTTCAGGATGGGTCATACATCCTGGCTTTTCGTCTGTTCTGCTGTAGATTCACTGTGCATACCCTTGCTTGACTGTTTTGAAGGGCAGAAAAGATGTCCAAAAGTGTCATGAATGTGAAATTTCCCAGAGATTCTAGGCACATCTGGTACTTCTCAAGGATGTGTGGTAGAGTTGGAACTCCCTTGATGTGCTGTGGTTTCTTAAAATGTCTTAAAAAGTCACAGCTGAGGAAGAAACAATGTCAGAAGTCTCATAAAAGACTAGCTCTTTTCCAAAATCATAACAATCAGATGAACTCTCTAAAGGGTAAAGATTTGGAGGCTTTAAATAATTTTTAATCTTCAGTCAAACAGACTAATTCTCGCCACATTCTACATGTTTCATTTTTTTAATCTCTCTAGAAACAATCACTCCTAAAATGCCGTAGTTTGCGTTTTCCATATTGTACTGTTAGTAGTCATATTTGCATCTGTTAAGCACACAGGGTTTAAGTTGCTCTACGAGTATAAATGAAGGTGCAGTCCCAACAGTCTAATAAAATGTAAGTAACGTGTTATCTTACGAGTTTCAAATGCTCTTTTATTCTCTGGTGTTTAGAAAATGGTCTCTTATTTTTAGATAGAAATCTGTACTTTGTTTCTGTCAAGCGATCTGTGGCCAGTAGTTTCTTGGATTTTGGGGAAAGGTTATTACAATTCTTATCGTTCCTAAAATATTTATTCTGGAGAAGAAAATATATAAAGTATATACAAAGTGTGCACATGAATGGCAGCTTAATATTCATCTCTTAATCTCCCTACAAAGCAATCCGACTAAACCAGAAATTGTCTCCTAAAGGCTTACACTCCATTTTCCATTTAGAAAGGAATGTTTATATACACAGAGATAGGGCATCCCTGTATCCTCAGCATATGTTTTGTCACTGTCTTAGGTTTGGTTTTAATTTGTCACACGAATTTTGGTTTATAGAAAACTGGCAACCCCAGTTAGGCTGTTAGTACCTGCATGATTGGCTGTGTAATTTTAAGGAAAATCATGCCTACAAATATAACTAACTAGTCTACTTCAGGATTTTTAATTTTTTTTATTACAGAAGAACAAATGAAAATAAGATATAAATCTAAATGTATCATCCTGCTTGCTGAAAATATAGGCTAATTATTTATACATTTAAGACTAATAGAAACTAGCTTTCTTCCATCAGTGTTTGATTTTTACATTGTCATTATGATGCTTTTAACCTCATTATTACAACCAGAGAACAATGAGAAGTAAATTTTAGAAAATGGCAATGGATATATCTTTTCAAAGAACTGTTTAATCCAACAAAGCTTCCACTACTTTAGTAAACATACATTAAATTTATTTTTAAAAAATAATGTTGTTCATAATATTGGTTTAAATTTAAAATCTTTGATTGTGAAAATCACTGATACTTTGTGCTATGAAATCATTCTTTCTTCCAGTGATAAAACTAAAAATTATTGCTGTCCTCTCCTTGGAAAGAATTACAGTAGCTTTGAATTTACACTTTCAATGTTGCTGCTTTAACTTTGAGCTTTGTATCCTAACAGGAGGTGGCAAATCTCAAGGACGCCAAACAACTATTGATACAACAGAAATTAGAGCTGCAGGGCAAAATAGATAATATGAATTCAGCTCTGGAACATGAGAAGAAAACCCATCAAGCTGTCAAAGATCAACTGAAAAAGAGAGAAGAGGAGCTGAAGAAAGAATGTGCTGAAATTGAAGCTAGGCTGGTGAGGATGTTAGAGAGTATAAGACTTGTTTTGTGAACGTGCCTTTGGATTCTTTCAGGGACAGAGAGGAAGCAAAGACTTGACTTTTGTTTCATGTTACATTAATTTTTAAATGACAAGGTCAGAAATCTTTGAAGCATTTAGTGGTGTAGGAAAATTCAGTGGGATGACAGCCTTGTCTAACAGAGTTTGTTGATTAGAAGTAGTTATTCTAGTACAGTGAGATTCTTTGCCTCAGTTGGATGTAGGGAATAGAGAAAGAATACTTAGAAGGTTGGTTTTCATTGTTCTGTTGTCTTCTTAGCACACAGAGAAAAAAGAGAAAGAAGAAGAAAACCGGAAATATGAGGAAAAGGAGACCAAGCTCACCATGCAGGTCACAGCCCTGAATGAAAATTTGGCTACCATGAAGAAAGAGTGGCAAAGCAGTCAGAGGCGAGTGAGTGAGCTGGAGAAGCAGACAGACGATTTACGTGGGGACATTGCTGTCCTGGAAGCAACGGTGCAAAACAATCAGGATGAGAGAAGAGCATTGCTGGAGAGGTACGCTGTGGTCACGACGATGTGGGAGCTTAGTTTGGGAAACGGGTAGCCTCACACTGAGAACTTGTTTCAGTTGATTAAAGATTCTCTGTGCTTGCTTTATTAGATCCACATTTGTTCCTAGTGCCTGGGCTGTGGGTGCAGTTTCAAGGCTGCAGTTCTGTTGTCCCTGCCAGAGCACCGCAGGGGGTGTTGGGAACAAACTTTATGGGCTCTGACAGGGTGACCATTTTGTAGAAAATCAGGCAGGCTTATCAGAACCTGACTTATCACCAAAGCCACAGCTCTTACTTGGGCTCGAAGATTTACGCCCACCCATAAGAGTTTTCTAAATCCACTGGGCTCCTCTGAACTTTTGAGGTGTGTAGGTTGTGGCTTCTGATCCCACCAGATTTTTGTCAACCTTGCGAGGCCTGGCAGAGAGAGCTCCTCTTACCTGAGTTAATTATCCTTCTCCATCACTCTGAGGCTCCCCTGCCTCGACTCAATCAGAGTAGAGACACTAGTCATCCCGAAGCCTGCAAGAGACTCCTTGGTGCCTCCAGTAACATAGAATTTGCTTAGCGATTTCTAGGTATGCCCACTGCTCAATGTTAGGAGATTGTGTGTGTAATTGAATTAGATAGATAGGCTAAGGTTTCCATAGGAGGCATTTCCTTCCCCATGAAACCTGGTCTTCTTTTCTCCAGTTCTGTTATTTTCTCTACGCTAAATTTAAATCTCAGGTAAGCAGAGCACCTTCAGGCAGCACAAGTCATGCAAGGCAGTGGGAGTTACCCAAAAGCAGCAATTACAAGGGTAGAAGAAACACCTGTGAGACAGGAAACTTTCTGTGTCCTTATTTCATGACATACTTGGTAAAAGCAGAGTGGAAAACTTTTTTTGATACTGTCAAGCTTGCTGATTTGATTTTTGTGCAGTATACCTTGGGAAAAGATGGAATCAATTCAAGTGAAATCCTTTTTCCTTGGCAACCTCTTGCCATACTGTGCTGAACTCACCCAGCAGCCATTTACAGCTTGGCAGAAAAATACCCTTTGAAATTTGGTTGTCAACAGTTAACTGAATTTCAGCTGGTGGGAGGTGGCCTTGCTAAAAGAAAAAGGTTTCTTTCTTGCTCCATTGTCCAACCTGATGTGCTGCAGCTGGTTTGTGTACTTACGAAGGCTTGCTGTTGATGGACTATATTCAGTCTAGTTCCTGGTTCTGGGAGTAACTCCAGGTATTAATAAGCCACGGATATTTGGGCGCAAAGCCAGATAATCTTAAACTGATTATTATAACAGAACATTTCTCTAGTCAGGGCATCCAAGAACTTTTCACAGCTGGATTTTATGAGAGTAACGTCTCAGACATGACAACCTGCCCAAACGAAGCAGTGTGCATCGCCTTATATGCTTGGAGCTGAGTATTTGCTGTTTGTCCTCAGGTGTATAAAAAGTGAGGGGGAAATTGAAAAGCTTCAAGCCAAACTTGTAGAAATGAAGAAAAAGCTGGACAACACTACTGCTGCCATGCAGGAACTTGGCCGAGAAAACCAGTCGCTACAGGTATAGTTTGATTTGAAGCAACTAAACCTGTTGATTCTCTCTGTGGGAACTTTAGAGAATTTAAAGTCTGTGTCACATTGGTGATGGGTTACCTTTCCGGGGTGATTAAGATGATACGAAGCTGTGTGGGAGTCATATTGCTGTCTGGCTTCTTAAATCTTTTCATAGGCTTGAAACTTGGAAGATTTTCTCTCTGTACAAATACAAGCTCTCAGTATCATGGCAGAATTGGTGCTTTTATACCATACTGAACAGTGTGTGCAGTAAAAATAGAGGAACTTAGTAGGATTTAGGGATACATTTAGAAAAACCCTGCTTTTTTTAATATCTTCTGTATAGATCAAACACACCCAAGCTCTCAACAGGAAGTGGGCAGAAGACAACGAGGTACAGAATTGTATGGCCTGTGGAAAAGGCTTTTCGGTGACAGTGAGAAGGGTAGGTGTGTTTTACTGTGTATCTGTGGGGATTTTCTTCCTCTGTTGTTTTCAAACTCTTAGATGGGATACGAACTTGATAAAATGGCCTTAATAGTGTTGTGATCCTCAAAACATCTCAGAATACAGTTAATACTCAAAGTGTCTAAAATATTAAAAATTAAGTTTGTGGAGCTTACTTTATTTGTGATTCTTTTGCTATTTTAACAGCATCAGTGTTAAAATATTTCAATTCCCTAAGCAAGCAAGCAAAATTACACTATTGTAAGGGCATTTACTGTAAACTTATTTATAACTTGTCTGAACTGGATTTACAGGTATAAAAGAAATGTAAATTTGTTGAAATTAGATATATCTGAAAATATGAGGCATCAACATGATCTGGTCCTTTGCATGATCTGGTCCTTTATATGTTTCTAAATATGAACTAGACACGGAACAGAAGAAACAACTGGATGTGGTTTAGGTCTGTAGTCAGACCTTCTTTGTAAATCAGCTGTGACCAGCTGAGATGTCAGCACCGCTCGGCTGGCAGGGTCTGCCCTTCCTTCAGAGATTACCATCCCTCCAGCAAGGGACTTGGCAATGAAGTAGATGAGGGATATTCGTGAGGTTCATTTTGCAGTGCTTCCTGACTTGATCTTAGGTGCCTCTCCCTGTCCTGCGTTATTTCAGTCATGTTCTTTGGGTCGTCTTTGAACAAAGGCTGCTGGATCCTTTGATTCAAGGATACTCTATATGACCAAGGGGAGAAACTCAAGAGGAAGATGAACTTCAGCCAGTTCATATCTGGAACTGGTATAGTCTCCCAACTCAGTGAAGCACTTCTGAGTATTTCATTCCTATACCCTTTAGAAAAGATTTACTCCTATGCCTTTCTCTGTGTTGTGTAACTAGTATTTAAAAATTCAAGCTGACTTCTGAAACATGAGAGTTGACTTGACGTGATAGTGATCTCTATTAGCGATTGATGCCCTGTCGCTGATGTTCAGCAAATGTTTCTTCTCTTTCACAGCATCACTGTAGACAGTGTGGAAATATCTTTTGTGCCGAGTGCTCAGCAAAGAATGCCTTAACTCCTTCTTCTAAGAAGCCTGTCCGAGTCTGTGATACTTGCTTTAATGACTTGCAAGGATAACTGGCTATCGTGAGTGACAAAGAAATGTTACACTAAAGTTTATAATTTCTGTCGATGCACTTCGTTCAGCACTCAGACTACTATTCAGTTTGGACAATGATTGTAACACTTGGCAAAATTTAGAATATTTTAAAATGTTTATTGATACCAAGTAAAACTATTGTATTTTTTGTGAGACATGGGCTCAGATCATCCATAGCTTATCGCCGTTTATTCTGGAAAGAGCTTCTATGTCTAGATTAGAAATGCCCAGTTATTTGTAAATAAAGTTTAAACAGAGGAGTAACAATGTATTTTTTTATCCTTTATTTTTTTGTTCAAGAGAAACAGCGTTTATGTGATATTGCAGTTTATTCTTGTTTCCTTCAATGAAAAAAGAAGATGCAAAAACTTGTGTGAGGATTTTATGTATCAAATGTTGCTGTAAAAGCATAACTAAATGTTGCATTTGATTGCATATCTGATGTTCTTTACAACTCCTTATGATTTTTGTTTTCTTTCTGTCTCCCTGGTTCTTGGACTTTTCTCTCTGAAGTTCAAACTCCACAGTGAGGGTAATGGCTGGACTCAACTCCAAATCGGTTTTATTTGCCCACATAGGACTTGTAGTGTCAGCACAGGAGTCCTTATCCAGCTACAGCTCTTGGATACTGGCACATCCTTATGCGTGCTGTGTTGCACAGTAAGTGAGTGACTGAGAGTGCGTGTGTGTGTGTGTGTGCTTGTCAGACACTACATATGAACAAATGACGAGGCAAAGTTTAACTGGCACTGTAGGAATATTACACGATACATTACAATATTCCATCCCGTATTGATTTATTTCACTTTTTACATATTCCGTTGATGGATTTTAGTATTTCTACTAAGAAAAAGTCTTTTTTGAGACTGCTGCATATTATTTGACCTTTTCTGCTGTCCCTTCCCTCTGCTTTTGGTGGAAAAAGCTGAACTCCTGCTACACCTAACAAACCTCAGTTTTCCATTACTCCATCTAACTCCCATTACTGGGGGCATCTAAAACATTATGTTTGTTATATGATTTAGCCTGCTCGGAACAGTGGTGTAAATCTGCTACTGGCTTAGTTTTAAGCCAAATAGCTCTAATTAAGAGGCCAATATATGTCTTTAGATATTTATTCGTATTTTCTTTTCTGTACTTGCGACAGAGGTTTCTTGTAGAGTTCATGTAGGCTCCAAACTTCTTTTTTGTTGTGGTTTTAGTTGTGCCTGTTTGTTCTTGCCTGCTTGTCTCTAACTTTTCTTCCCTTTGTATCTTGTATTTAAAAAACATTAAGGTTTTTTTCCTCTGAGTGTGGGTTATGCCTTCTGATATTTAGGGACCTGTTGTCTTAAATGCCCTAATAAATTCCCTCCACACCAAGCCCTCCTGTGTCTAACAAAATTTTGCCAGCAGTTCAGAGAAAAGGACTGTGTCCTGAATTCCTCTACTTCGTGCCTGAGGTAAGGAATCAGATTCTGTCACAATGATGGAACCTTAGCCATCCTTAGGCAGGTTTGTTTGCTTTTATCTATTGACGGTTCTATATGTGAATGAAGAGGAGTCTCACTTATGAAAAATGTCTAGTCCTGATTAACTCTCAAATGAAGAAACTTCTTAATCCCCCTTCTTCAGAAGTACCAATCTCTATTTTTCATACCCTTTCTTAGCATACCTGTCTAGCTCTACATTTGCAGCCTCAAGGAGTCTTCCTCAAGGAATTTTCTTAAAAGTAAATTCTTACTTCCCCAAAGCCAGCTGAATTATGTAACTCGTTCTCCTTGCTGTAAAAGGGGTTTGCATACAGCTGTTGTTTATGTGAAATACTGACCTGCTTTTCTGGTTCAAACCTGAGAGTTGCTTCCTTGAAAGGAACAATTGCTGCAACGATTCCATACGAATAGAGTCTCTGGACTGGTTGTTTCTCCTCATCAGTGTAATTGTTTGGCATAAGAATCCTTTGAATAGAAAATATGAACAGAGTCCACCTCTGGGGTTTTTTTCCCCTACTTATTTATTGAGAGAATCCAAAGAGTTTGCTTTCAGGCCTTTCTTTGTCTGACATGTGACTTGAGAAATGTGGGAAAGGTAAAGATGTAACAGTCATGCTCCAGCCTAGATGCCTTCTGCCCTGGTCACAGGCCTCTTGCTGCTCTTAGGAAGAGGGACGACCACATGGGGCAGGAGGGATTTTCAGAGGGAAGCGAGAAGTTTCCTGTGGCTGCACAAGAACAAAACGCGTGAGGTGGAGGAAGAGAGAAATCTTTCAGGGAGAACTGGGAAAATGCTGAAAGCACTCACGTGTGTTCAGGCATTTTGCTTTTGAATGGGAGTGTGTAAAAGCTGAGGAGAGCGCTCTGCAGTAAAGAGGAAGTGGCAGAAGCTCTAGTAGGGTTAAGGTTGTTCTTAATCGAGCCTTTTGGGGTGCCTTTGTGTAAAGCTGAGCAGAGGCACCTCGCTCAGGTGGCTGCAGAAGCAGTGAGGTTGGTTGACCACAGATCAGACCTTGCTCTGGAGCAACTCAGCTTCAGGGGCAAAACCAGCTTGATTTCTGAAGGTTGCTTTTTCCTGACCAGTTTGTAAGACCAGCTTTTTAAGGGAATGGAAATGCTTTTCATATGCACATTTGTAGAAAAGGGATTATTAAAATCTGGAGGAACAGTGGTGGGGTAGAAGCTTTGATGCTTTTTCTTTGAGTCTGTAGCAGCAGGTCGGGATTTCTACAGCTTTTCACTGGAGTAAATGTATGACTCCGTTGCTAAAAATTGTGCTCCTTTTGTACTTATGATTCTTAGTGCTGATCTGAATTTGTTCACAAGCTGGTATACTAGACCCTGTAATGCTCTCAAACTCACTGTGAGATTGGAAGTTGTGCTAAAGTCCATTAAAATGGCTTATGAAATACGTAATCAGGGAGACTGGAAGGTCAAAAGCTTTGTATTTATAAATCTGCTTGCAGAGTGTGACTGTTTTGATGGGTATATTTCAGTAGGAATGTGGGGGTTTTGTTGCACTGCTTTAAAATACAAATAATAGGAAAACCTAGTAAAAAGCTCACTAACTTTTACCACGCTGAGTTAAAGGATTCCAGACAAACACACTGATTTTTCAGACTACAAACACAGGAGCAGAGGGAGAAAACTAATAAAATGACAGAAGAGACTAGAGCCTTGGAACCAGAGGTTGCACAGTGAAATGTTTTAAAAGCCTCTAGCAAGAACCAGAGAGCTCTGACCCTCTGAGGAGAGGCCATTGTAGAGCAAGAGGTGGAAGTAATGGTAAAATCAGTGCTTGAACCAGCAGGTGTGGGAGACCCTCAAGCTGCCTTTGATTATTAGCCATTGCCATGGCATCAGGAATTGGGCAGCGAAGCACGGGGTTCGTTCCTGAAACTGTCCACTTTGCAGGACGCTCCATCCACAGAGTTGCTGGGAGAGCAGAATATAAGACCAGCTGCCGCGTGGGCTGAGACAAGCTACAGAGGCAATGAGAAAATAGTAAAGTCTTGTTAAGGGTGGGGAGAGGTTCTTTAACTTCCTGGAGACATCATCTCTCTTCCCAGTCCAATAGCCACAATCTCTGGGGTTGTTGCCCCAAAATGTGAAATCCCACTGTTCTACTCCAGCTTTGTGTCAGCAACATGTGCTTCATGCTTTGGTCCTGCAGCCCCTCTGGAGGCAGGTAGCGTTGGAGGGTTCAGTAGCAGGCGGTGGAGGGTTCAGTAGCAGGCTCTTGATCTTGGCTGATTGTGCTTCACTGTAACCTCTCCTCCCCATGTGTTCCTGCCCTCCAGTAATCTTCCCCTTTCTGCAAAGGGTGAACAAAGAGGATAAAATTAATGAATTGCAGTAGGAAAAGTTGCTGTCTGCAGATGAAGAGACAAGGAATTTTCTGCTGCAGCTTCCAACAGAGGCAAGAGTTTCAGAGGGATCTCATTTTCAGCTGGCTTCACTCTCTGGCACTAGAGTCCAAGGTTCTAGGGTACAGTGTGTTTTTTTTCTTCTGGTTTTGGAAGGTGTCAAGTAACCAAGTTGCTATGGAGTGTGGAGTGTGAGGTACACAAGAACAATTAGTAACTATTTTTGTTGGGACAATCAGGATTATTTGTGAATCCTCACTGGAACAGCTTTCTGAGTGCAAGCAAGAAGGGACTTGGGAGAAGAAGCATGAAGTATCCCTGCTGTGTTTGTATTACATTAGCAAGAACAATTGAGTCTCTCATGCAAGATGTAAGAGTAGTGACATTCCTCAACAAGGAACCTGGAAAACTCGAGTATTTTTCTGGATTGTTAAATGTCAGTTAAAGGCGAAGAGGGAACAAATGCTTGTTGCAAAACTTTTAAGAATTTATGACCGTTACCCAGTGATGGACAGAGAACTGCTGGAGCCTTAAGTTCAAACAGAATATAAACTATGCCAAGAGGAATGATACCATAGTTTGAGTATGTTGAAAGTGATAAATTACTCCTCCATGTACCACCCCTCCCAGTCTGATATTCTTGGAGGACTAGGAAACAGCACTTATTTGCACTACGCACTTTTTGCTGTCTAACTGAATTTAATCTACCGTAAATGAAAAGGCATAATTTTCATTGCATGTGTTAGCTGTAATCGATGGACAGAAGGTTTATCTTCAGCTGGACTTTTCACTGTATTATATTTGGCCCCTTGCTATGTAAGGAGAATTTCACTCATTCCTTTTTACCAAAAATGCATTTATCATCTGAGAGCATGTGTAAGAAAACCCCCTCACGTGGTAACATACACGTTGTCTTTGTAGAGCTTCATTTTAAGATTAAAATGAGAAAACGGGAACTTTTTGCATTTTCAGGGGTTTTGCCAGTTGTCCAGCTCTTAATTTTTGGAGTCTTGCATCCTGTCTAGGATAAGTTTAAAATTATTGTCCAACCACAGCCTCTCCAAAAGCACTGAATGGTGTACTTTTCAGAAACAGTAATAACTGGATAGTAAAATACCACCACAGAAACTCAGTTTGGGGGTTTTTTGTTTGGTTGGTTGTTTTTTTTAAGAGGCACTGAATAAAGAGGTTTGCGTTTTTAGAGAGAACATTAAATGCCACTTAAGGTCACAATAATGAAGATAGGTACTAGTTAATATAATAAACTCTGCCTTTTGTCTGTAGCTCACCACATGCTATGCACTCTGTGCAGCAGATACAGGAGTATCTGCTCATTTGCAGGTTACTGAAGCCCTGCTAACCCTTTTGGATCAACGTTACTATGAAAGCAGAAGCTTGGTAGGCGTGTTTTCCAAGTTTCCCTCCCCTTACGACCTAAACTAAAAACCAAATCCGCCTGTATTTCCTGCCTTTTTTGGGTAAAGAGGGCTTTTTTTTGTTCGTTGGTTTATGTCAGCAGGCCGGTGCTGGCAGGTCCAGGCTCCGGCTGTTGGCTTTATGGCGAAGTGCTCCGTTGTATCACGCTGAAGCTTGATTCCTGGTGCATAAGGGATGTTTGAAAGAATGTCTCGCTGCGTTAGCGAATACCAGAACTTTTTATAGTAATGTGTCCAAAATGCTGCTTGTATAGGATTTGTCACTTTTTTAAAAAAAGAAAAAACAAACACACACACAAACAGGAAAAATCATAAACCCCCACCATTTGATGCCATCACATAAGATTTCATGTAAACTACCTCTCAGTGTGAAATTCAAACGTTAGGTAAGTTTAGTAAGGTTTGCTCACTGTTACGTTATGTAAAAGTTACAGTGAATGCCAAAATTGCAAAAGTTGATCACCAAAAAGGAAAAAAGTTTTTTCTTTTTTCTGTGTTTGAAAGTATCCAGTAGTTTCACGTTACTGTAAAACTATGTTGTATTCTTTTAACTTCTGTAGTTTCAATTTTGTGAACTCTAGCTGCTGGACAGGAAATAAATCATAACCACACGCTTTCATAATCACGATCTGCTGAGTAAAAGCAATTTTGTGTGCAGCTTTGTCATTTGTCTATAGATAACCTCCTTCACCAAATGTAGTGTTAATTTAGTCTTTTCTTTCTTCAGTACTTGAGATGTGTACTTGATGAATGGTATTCTGTAATGGATGTGTGCCTCAAATTACATCGTCCTTGCCTCTTTTTGGAATTTTAATGATCAATTTATTACTGCAGATGTGAATAGTACACATACAACTTAATTTCTGTATAATTGTATAAAATATAAATGGAAAAAGTTTTAAGTTCTTACTCAGTATTTAAAGGTAATGTATTATACTAGCCTTATGTTGCAGTTTCACCTACAGAATACTGCACTTTCTTTTCAACTGGATCACACTATCTTCGTAGGTGTAGATAGATTTTTCTGCATGAGTGTGTTTTGATTTTGTTTTGGTTCCTTTTTAAGCAAAGTTTGATTCTTCTAAGTTCTGTTTTCAGTGTTTGTGTTTACTATTTGTGATCATGTAGTTGTGCCTTACATTGTGAAAGAGTTTAGTCCAGCGTGCATTGTAATGCCTAAACTCTGCGATTTGGAAGGCAGCTGTGGATTTGGATGAGAAGATGATACCATGCATCAACCAGTTCTGTATAAACTATGATGAAATGTTACTGAAATGTCATTTTTGTTTTCTAACCTGTTAAAGGAATGATTAATTACAATAAAAAAATTAATTAGACCTTTCTAATAGACCAGTTCTGTCATTCAAAACTATATTGCCCTGTTTCAGACAACAAATCTACTTTGAAATGGGGATATATGATTTTGCAAATGAACTGTTGGGAAGCCACACATCTAAGAACAAGCTAAACACTCCAGTTTCTTAGGCTTGTGGGGAGCTGTGGCAAAAACACTTTCACGTTCCTGAGGAGGTGGTGATAATGACTGTTTCTCAAATCTGTTTTTTCACAGGTTAAATTCAGAATAGTTTTTCCATTCCCAGTAAAACAGCACAGGGCTGCTGGGTATCCTGTGTTTAGTTAAAGTCCTGTCACTGGCTGTGTTCTGGTGTCACATTCAACGCAGTTGGGTAACTGGCATAACTGGAAGACTCTGAAGCAGCACTTTTTTTAGTTCTTTAGACTAATGAAGAACTTGCTTGTCAGATCAAAACCTTTCAGGGTACAGCTGTGTTGCAGGCAGAAGCCAGGTGAGGAGTGTGCATGTGATCAGCCCCATGACAAAGCCAGTTTTGAATCATGGGGGCCTTCCTAAAAAAGGGTGTGTTGAAGCACATCTTCTGAGGGGGCTCTGTGTAGACAGTGGAGAAAGACAGCAAGACATCTCCTCTGAAAGGCAACTCATGCTGGGAAGTTAATTTCTGCCTTGACTGCTTTGACTGCCTGTTGCGCTTAAGTCTCCATAAAGACAGGCTGTGCAGGGACACTTCCTCCCCCTTGGGTGTCCTGCCTGGAGATGTGCTGGTCTCCAGCAGATACTGCCTCTCTGGGACTACTTAGTTGACTGGTAAACATAGCAGACCTGGCCAAAAGTTGTTTTGGTGAAAATATACAGAGATGCAAAACACCCCCTCACTTCTGCCAGTGCACAAAGCAGAGAGCTCAGTGTGTTAGGTGTGTTCTCTGGGCTCAAAATGTCTTTCTGGCCTTTCAGTGTTGGTTTTAAGATGCTGTGAGGTTGTGATGAGGCAGCAGGGATGGAGGGGGAAGGGTGTGATGGATGCGGTTGCAGCTGAGCTTGGGATCAGGGAGACTGAGCACAGCTGTGCGTGCCGAGTTGAGGTTAAGTGGTTACAGCCTGAGTGGTGTCCTGGAGCAGATCTGCTGTCTCCACTCTGTTCTCCTGCCCTGCACGTTCACCGTTTGCCATGGAGCCTGCGTGGCTCTGCCTTTCCCGGGAAGCTGTGGCAAAAATTTGCCTGGCACAGGGGGAAGAGCAGGAAT